TGGGGAATTCTGGGAGTAGAAGTCCACACATCTTAAAGTTGCTGAGGTTGAGAAACCCCGCTCTATACTATCCCCAGTTAATCCTGCTTCGATCTGGCACCCAGGGTCATTCTTGGAAATAAAGATGTGGGGGCCGATGCTTTGTTTTGCAATGCGCCATCTTCCTTTACAAAAATGAATGCAAATAACCTTTTTAAAACATTAAAACCAAGCAGGGGCAAGGGGCATGGCTACTCCATGGGGGATTCCTGCGTAAAGGAATCCACACGCTAGTCTTAGAGCAAGAAGAACGGGTTTGCAAAAATCTAGAGGACCACAAGATGGCAATAAATAGTATTACAAATAGTCCTTGCTTACCGACTGCCTCGTTTAACGACCATTTGCCGTTACGACCGTGTAAAAAATAGCTTTGCGACCAGTCCTCGCATTTACGACCCTTGCAGTGTCCTGTGGTCACGTGATTGCCATTTGTGTGCTTCGCAACTGGCTTGCAACAAGCAGAATTAATAGAGAAGGTGGAAGTAAAATCGTAAGTCACAGTCAAGTGACATTTTGCTGAACCACCGTGGTAATTCGCTTTAACGACCAAAGGGGAAGGGAAGTCAGGTCGTAAGCCTGTTGCGGTCACGTGATTTTCTGCTTAGCGACTGTGGGGCTTAGCGATGGAGTTGCCAGTCCCAATTGTGGTCGTTAAACGAGGACTACCTGTATCTGTCTCTTTCCCACCACCAAGCGGTTGTCTGGCTTTCTGCAGCTTAGAAACGGTAGCCCTAGCTAGTCTTTCAGCTTGGTGCCATCCAGATGCATGTAACTAGAGTTTTCAGACTTGCAGCGAACTGGCTGGGAATTCTGGGAGTTGTAGTCCCACGTCACCAGGTATATATGTGTGTGTGTGTATATATGTCTGTCTGTGTGTATATATATATAGTATTATGCTTTATTGCATTGAAAGAAGCAAGTAATACATTACTTAGATACAGTGGTACAGTATTTATACAGTATTACCTAGAGATTGTTAATGCTATGACGATTTAGATAACTTAAACCTTTAAAAATAAGGAAAAAAGGTTGTATCAATATTAACAAATATATTATATTAGCCCCTCCTGGCTTGTGAAAGCGACCTGAGGGGTGTCTTGTAAGTGGGTTTGAGTGGTGGTTAATTCTTCTTGCCGTGAGGGGGTTGTTCCTTTACCTCTTAAAGAGGCAAGCCATCAGAGTATCCGGAAGCTTCAGCCGGTGCAGAGTGCAGCGGCGCAGGCAGCTATGTGTGCTCCTAGGACAGGATATGTTACACCTCTGCTCCGCGAGCTGCATCGGATGCCAGTTTGTTTCCGGGTCCAATTCAAGGTGCTGTTTTTGACCTTTAAAGCCCTCCATGGCATGGGACCAGCTGATCTGAGGGACCACCTCTTCCTGATTGCATCAGCCCGTCCCATTTGATCCGGATACCATCTGCCAGGGACCGACATTTGGTGGGTCCTACACGGCAGGCCTTCTCTGCCGTGGCACCCGTCGCAAGGAACATCCACCCCCCCCGGCTTAGGTTAGCTCCATGCCTTTTGATGTTCTGGAAGTCCCTCAAGCCCTGGTTATGTCACCAGACCAGGCGGTCCCAGGGAACCGAGATATGTCTAGATCAGTGATTCTCAACCTTTTTGAAGCTGCCGCCCCCCTAAGGAGTGGAAAATT